CGACACTTACGTTTTGACCTCGACACTTACGTTTTGTACTCGATATTTACATTGTGCCTCGACACTTATATTTTGACCTTGACACTTACATTTTGACCTCGACACTTACGTTAACCTATGTAGTTCAGCACTATCCTTCACTTGCTTGATAAAGGTGTTAAGATCTACACCGAAACGTCGCACTTATTTTAATAAAGAAGTTGTTCATCCATAGAACTTGTCTTTCTTCTTGATATTATGTTTTCATGTTTGTTGTTCGTGTAGCTGATGAATTTATGGTCAGAATTATCTTCTAAAGATACATATTGCAGTTCAGCATTACATACACTTGTGACTGGTATCATGTAATCTGGTTTATCTTTATGGGATATTCCAAGGATAGTTCAACAGCTGTGTTAAATTGGTTTCAAACAGATATGGCTTCTAAGACACCAATGACAACATAACTAGGAGTATGAGTCTGCATGAATGAGTGAGTTAGTTATACATACTCTCGCTTTAAACTGTATTTAGTTATCTGCCAAAACAGTTTCCATTGGCTGAAAAAGGCAAACTTAAGATGAACATTATATGAATGGATCACTAAAAAACAGTGGTGACACCAGATGTAAGCAGAAAGTGTTCGCATCTCCTGCGCTATCAGTCTGGATCAGACAATCCAGTTATTAGGATCATGAGCAATCATCCATGTCAATGTGGTATGATGGTGTCAACCAAGTCGTCAAGCATGACCACCTGCTCCACAAGAGTAAGTGCCAGTGAGTAAGTAGGAGGGATAACTCCCAGAGAAAATCACAGTATGAGTTAGCACATGAGAGTCACCTGGTGACGTAGGTCCTAGATGTTTCCCGCGTTTATTAAACTGACCACTCGTGGAGCTGACAAATCAAGAATCATAATGAGTGTGAAATTAGGATTCTGTCACGACTAAGGGACATATAGTATGACCAGAAATTTTAGGGATATGTTTAAGTGGATATCTGGTATAAAAAAACACTGACCAGCTATCAAGTGCTTGGTTTCACTCAAGAGAGACAACTCAGTTAATCCTATTTGTCAAGAGGTATCCCCCTTTGTTTACTTGCTAGCAGACGTCATTTTCAGTGATCCTCAGTATGGATGATTTAGAGAAGAGGAGGTTTATTTTAGAGTATTTTAACAAGGACATCAGATCAGCTAAAGTGATTTCAATTAGAACAGGCATCCCTTTGTCCACCGTTTATCGTGTTTTGAAAAATATTGAAAGTGGAGATGGCATTGAGCACAAAAGAGGCGCGGGTAGGCCCAGAAAATTGACAGTCGGTGACAGGAGGCGGCTTGGTATTCTTGTTTCTAAAAACAAACGAAGGAGTTTAGAAAACTTAAGACTTGATATGATTGATAGAGGAACTGTGGCTCTCTGTAAGGAGACAATTAGAACTGAGCTGCATGCAAAAGGTTGGGAGAAAAGTCGAGGAATTCAATCATGAAACCTGAACAAAAGGGGCGAAGGTTGAACTGGTGCTTAGAGCATAGAAATTTTAACTGTGACAATGTGATTTTCTCAGATGAAAGTTCTGTGTGGCTCCTAATACACTCAAATGCTGGACCAAACAAACTGAAAAACCTTTGTATCAGGCTATCAGCGCCAAAAGTACAGTCAAAAGTTTCACGTGTGGGGTGGCACATTTGCGTTAGGGGCAACGCCCCTGTGTGTATTTGAAGGGAATATGAACAGTGAGCGGTACACAGATATTCTCGAGGGACATTTACTTCCATCTGCTCAAGTATTCTATGGAAATTCGTGGATTTTCCAGCAAGACAACGACCCAAAATATCGTTGAAACCATTCTCAGGCCTGCTTTCGGACCCAAAATATGACATTATTAGATTGGCCAAGCTACATCCCTGACCTAAATCCAATAGAAAATGTTTGGGGGGCTTATGAAGGAAAGTGTCAATAAAATAAATCTGACAAATTTTGCTAAAATGAAAGAGCAGGTGGTGCGATATTGGGACAGCATGAACCACGACTTTCTAACTTCTTTGATCAGTAGTATGCCCCGCCGCCTTGGAGCCTGCATTGCTGCCCATGGTGACTTGACAAAATACTAAGTGTTCGCCTATCTTTGAAACTGGAGTAATGTTGTACTAATATTCACATTTAATATGTGAGTAATTAGTGAAACTAAAATAATACAATCTTTAAATTCTCAATAATTTCTGGTCATACTGTAACCATACAATTCTAGCATAAAGGGACATAAATCTACAATTCTAGCACATTATGGGCACAGTAAGGCCTCTCCTCAGCTCTCCCTTAATCCAAATACTGCTACATCTGGCACAAATAACTTTTGGTTAACTACACAGAGTGAATTCTAGTACATTATGGGCACAGTCAGGCCACTCCTCAGTTCTCCCTTAATCCAAATACTGCTACATCTGGCACAAATAACTTTTGGTTAACTACACAGAGTGAATTCTAGTACATTATGGGTACAGTCAGGCCTCTCCCGAGTTCTCCCTTAATCCAAATACTGCTACATCTGGCACAGCAAGTGTTGGCATCACCCATATCAGAACACAGACTGCACTGTTCATCATCATGACAAGCTGGACGAGGAGCTGGATGTTGGGAGGGTCACCTGTAACATTGATTGCACAGAGCATGTCATGCTTCCACTTTAGATTCACTTTGATTTGGCAATCTCAGAATGGGTTGAGTTTAACAGTCTCTATCTTCTCCTGTAAAGACTCAATCAAAATGTATTTAACAAGTATTTGAACAGTAATTCAATTATAAAACAGCATATCGTTGAATATTGGAAGAAACGAATCAAAAACAGAATATATCAGGGATTCAAAACCAAGATGGTATTCAGTTTTTTGTTTGTGTAGCTATTGAATGTATGGTCTTTAAATACACTCGTGATTGATGTCTTGTGTCTCCAATATTGTTCCTTAGCTGTGTTAAATTAGTTTCAAACAGTAATGACTTCAAAGACATAAATGACAACACCCACCAGGCTTATGACACTGAATGAATGAGTGAGTTAGCTTTACATACTCTTGCTTTGAATTTTAGTGGCACTCATGAAGAGCAGCCTCCTCGTGGTGAGTTCTGGGTAACGCTAAGAGCTCTACCCGGGGTAGAATGTGTCCTCAGGACCTCATTGCTGATCGTATGAGGCGACTTAATTGGGCAACCTTCTTGCCGTGGGTTGCGCCCCTGTCACGGCAGAGGAAGGGAGTCTGGTAGTTGAGAGAGCCGGGGCCGGCAATAGTGTTCCACACGACTTTGCCCCTAACTTTGCCTGGACGGGTGGTAGGATGGGCCCGATCTTGTTAATCAGCAGGTCATGCCAAGCTCTGTGCATACATATTGTTCAGCACAAATTTGTCAAAATGTTTTGTTGAGTCTTGGCTAAATGATGTTTTGTATGCATTTCAAATGTATACGATATGGCTGAAACATTGCCGATCTTAAATCTTAACTCACTCACTAAAATGTATAGTTCCAAATTCGTAAATTGCCGGGAGTTCTATGCCCAGAAGGCGGTGGCTAATGGGCCAATCTGGTGGAAAAATTTATCTTTTGACTTTTCTGCTAGAGTATATCATCCGAGTATCTTTGGTGCTGCAAGTCGGAGGACCACTTGCTCACAACAATGTCTATATGATACTCCATGGTTGGTGGGGAACTCGGATGATGAAAGTTACACACTAAACATGGATTACGAAAGCCCCCTAAAAACAACGTCCTCTCGATACTGATGATAACGAACATAGACCGTCCAAATCCATTATGGCCTCTAAGTAAATACTTGCACGCTGTCTGTTACATGTGTTCGCTGCAGTGAGAATACGCAGAATACGTCAGAAGATTGTGACAGCAGCTTTAAGAAGTGCGCAAACTGTTCGGGAAATCACTCATCGGTCTCCACAGAATGCCACAACAAATGGAGATCAACAAAATTAAATTCACTCAAAATGCCAGTTTTGCAGATGCCAAAAGAACAAAAGGATCTAAGAACCAGATACAACTATATAAAAAGTTAGTTTCTTCACATGTTTTACAGTGGAGTTGTAAAGGACTAAAGACAAGTTTTAATTAATTACTGCTTTTAGTGCAGGACTTAAAGCCATCAGCATTCTGTCTACAAGAAACCTGTCCAAAGCAGACAGATACTTTTAACCTACGTCAGTTTATTGCATACCATTCTCCTTTTTTTCTCCTACCATACCTTTTTCTCCTCTGGTTGATAGGGCCACTGGGGATCCTCTACAATGCCACGTACACGTAACCATGGTTTTACACCCAATGTAAACAAGCTAGAAAAACTAAGAAAAAGGCAGAGAAATATTTTCTCCGCCACCCAACTGTCCACAATTTACATAAATTTACACCTTTAAATACAAAAGCTCGTCGCGTATTTAAAGAAAATAAATGCTAGTATTGGCAAAACTCATCAAAGCTTGGTGGAGAGTGAGATAATGATTTTGGTGGAGAGTGAGAGTGAGATAGTGATTTTGGTGGAGAGTGAGAGTGAGATAGTGATTTTGGTGGAGAGTGAGAGTGAGATAGTGATTTTGGTGGAGAGTGAGAGTGAGATAGTGATTTTGGTGGAGAGTGAGAGTGAGATAGTGGTTTTGGTGGAGAGTGAGAGTGAGATAGTGATTTTGGTGGAGAGATACAGATTTGGTGGAGATTGAGATGGAGACTTTGTTGCTGTGTGACGATAGAGATTGGGGCCCAGTCAGACATGTTATATGGGTGTTAGTGTAGTAAAAAGTGACCTCAGGCTTTGTAACAATAGTGAAAAATATATTGTACAAACGACGGCGTGCCCTGGGAGAACAATACGAACCCGTGGCACGTGGCAGACAACGCTGTGCCCACTTTGCACGCGACTGCAAGTTTTTCACCCCCTGCATGCGTTCCACATATTGTTCCCACAAATGTGATTAATAGTCAAAATTGATGGTTGAGTAACAATTCGTTTGCTTGCATACAAAAGTGGGAGGAGATCCAATCAAGTCATGCTGATGACCCTGGAAACAATTACCTGATGACAGTCGAAACAATTAGACCTACAACAAAGCACACATGTATTGAACTGCCCCCTCAGAGCGTGGACCTGTGTGTATATTACCGTCTCACTAATGACATAGAGGCTACATATGGACGGGAACATTGGACAGTTTCACAACAGTTGTGGGTCAACATGGATGTCCTAGTGGTTGTGTTCCTCCTCCTCCTCCTCCTCCTCCTCCTCCTCCTCCTCCTCCTCCTCCTCCTCGTCTGTCTGCTCTACACTCAGGTTTCTAAACGTTCTCGGCTGCCCCCGGGGCCATATGCAATTCCGTTCATTGGCAATCTGATTCAGTTGATGCTAAATCGGGAGAACCTGCAGCCGCTGCTTGAGCGCCTACACCAGCAGCACGGAAACGTGGTCCGCCTCTACCTCGGCAATACGCTCATGGTGGTGCTCAACGGCTTCGACGCCAACCACGAGGCGCTGGTCAAGAGAGGACTTTTGATGACGGGCAAGCCGCAAATATTGCCGGAACAGAGCAACACAGGTGAGTCACAGACATCCCTTCACGTATATCAGTTCTGTCACACGTATCTCAGTGCTGTCGCACGTATGTCAGTGCTCTCGCATGTATGTCAGTGCTGTCACACGTATCTCAGTGCTGTCACACGTATGTCAGTGTTGTCACACGTATATCAGTTCTGTCACACGTATCTCAGTGCTGTCGCACGTATGTCAGTGCTCTCGCATGTATGTCAGTGCTCTCGCACGTATGTCAGTGCTATCGCACGCAAGTCAGGTTTGTCACGCATATCTCAGTGTTGTCACACATATGTCAGTGCTCTCACACGTATCTCAATGATGATACACGTATCTCTGTGTTGTCACACGTATCTCACATCTGTCGCACGTATCTTAGTGCTGTCGCACGTATCTTAGTGATGTCACACGTATCTCACATCTGTCACACGTATCTCAGTGCTGTCGCACGTATCTCAGTGATGTCACACGTATCTCAGTGTTCTCACACGTATCTCAGTGATGTCACACGTATCTCAGTGATGTCACACGTATATCAGTGCTGTCACACGTATCTCAGTGATGTCACACGTATCTCAGTGCTGTCGCACGTATCTCAGTGCTGTCGCACGTATCTCAGTGTTCTCACACGTATCTCAGTGCTCTCACACGTACCTCAGTGCGCTCGCAAGAATCTCAATGCTCTCGTGCGTATCTCAGTGCTGTCACATGTATCTCAGTGCTGAAACACATATCTCAATGTTGCCACGCGTATGTCAGTGCTGTCACACATATGTCAGTGCTGTCACATGTATGTCAGTGCTGTCACACGTATATCAGTGTTGTCACACGTATGTCAGTGTTGTCACACGTAAGTCTGTGATGTCACACGTATGTCAGTGCTGTCACACGTATATCAGTGTTGTCACACGTATGTCAGTGTTGTCACACGTATGTCAGTGTTGTCACAAGTATATCAGTGTTGTCGCGCGTATGTCAGTGCTGTCCCACGTATATCAGTGTTGTCGCACGTATATCAGTGTTGTCACACGTATGTCTGTGATGTCACACGTATGTCAGTGCTGTCACACGTATATCAGTGCTGTCACACGTATGTCTGTGTTGTCACACGTATGTCAGTGTTGTCACACGTATGTCTGTGATGTCACACGTATGTCAGTGCTGTCACACGTATATCAGTGCTGTCACACGTATGTCAGTGCTGTCGCACGTACATCAGTGCTGTCACACGTATGTCAGTGCTGTCACACGTATATCAGTGTTGTCACAAGTATATCAGTGTTGTCACACGTATGTCAGTGCTGTCGCACGTATATCAGTGCTGTCACACGTATGTCAATGCTGTCACACGTATGTCAGTGTTGTCACAAGTATATCCGTGTTGTCGCACGTATATCAACATGTCACACGTATGTCAATGCTGTCACACGTATGTCTGTGCTGTTGCATGTATCTCAGTGTTGTCACACATATGTCAGTTCTGTCACACGTGTCTCAGTGCTGTCGCACGTGTCTCAGTGCTCTCACACGTGTCTCAGTGCTGTCACACATATGTCAGTGCTGCCACACGTAAGTCAGTGCTGCCACACGTAAGTCAGTGCTGTCTCACGTATGTCATTGCTGTCACACGTGTCTTAGTGTTGTCACACATATGTCAGTGCTGTCACACGTATGTCAGTGCTTTAACACGTATGTCAGTGCTGTCACACGTATGTCATTGCTGTCACACGTGTCTTAGTGTTGTCACACATATGTCAGTGCTGTCACACGTATGTCAGTGCTTTAACACGTATGTCAGTGCTGTCACACGTATGTCATTGCTGTCACACGTATGTCAGTGCTGCCACACGTGTCTCAGTGCTGTCACACGTATGTCATTGCTGTTGCACGTATCTCAGTGTTGTCACACGTATGTCAGTGCTCTCATACGTATGTCTGTGCTGTTGCACGTATCTCAGTGCTGTCACACGTATGTCAGTGCTGTCTCACATATTTCAACTTTGTCACACATATCACAGCGTTGTCACTCATCATTAGCGTTGTCACACATATCTCAGCGTTGTCACACATTTATTACCATTGTCTCCTTTATCTCAGAACTGACACATATACTAGTATCTCAGCGTTGTTACACATATATCAGTGGCAACTTTTGATGTGTGCTAATTCTCTGCAGGTGTGATATTTAGCCACGGTACCCCATGGAGGAATGCGAGGAGACTCACTCTTCGAGGGCTCCGGGACTTCGGAATGGGGAAAGATGTTCTTGAACCTAACATGAAGGAAGAGATCAACTTTATCCTGGACAAACTATCTGCAAACGAAGGGCGTCCCATCAGTCTACGACCGTTCTTAACTCAGGCTGCTCTCAACGTATCAAGCAATTTAGTGTTCGGTCATAGGTGAGTCAGCAGTCCTCTGTTACCATGTGAAATACTCACCCAGTCCTTTTCGTGTTTTGCATGTGTTGCATGCCTAGTCGCTATCGTGTTTAGAATGTGTTGCACACCCAGCCCCTGTCGTGTGTAGCATGTGTCGCACACCCAGCCCCTGTCGTGTTTAGCATGTGTCGCACACACAGTACCTGTCGTGTTTAGCATGTGTTGCACACACAGTACCTGTCGTGTTTAGCATGTGTTGCACACCCAGCCCCTGTCGTGTTTAGCATGTGTTGCACACACAGTACCTGTCGTGTTTAGCATGTGTCGCACACCCAGCCCCTGTCGTGTTTAGCATGTGTTGCACACACAGTACCTGTCGTGTTTAGCATGTGTTGCACACCCAGCCCCTGTCGTGTTTAGCATGTGTTGCATACACAGTACCTGTCGTGTTTAGCATGTGTTGCACACCCAGCCCCTGTCGTGTTTAGCATGTGTTGCACACCCAGCCCCTGTCGTGTTTACCATGTGTTGCACACCCAGCCCCTGTCGTGTTTAGCATGTGTTGCACACACAGTACCTGTCGTGTTTAGCATGTGTTGCACACCCAGCCCCTGTCGTGTTTAGCATGTGTTGCACACCCAGCCCCTGTCGTGTTTAGCATGTGTTGCACACACAGTACCTGTCGTGTTTAGCATGTGTCGCACACCCAGCCCCTGTCGTGCGTAGCATGTGTTGCACACCCAGCCCCTGTCGTGATTAGCATGTGTCGCACACCCAGCCCCTGTCGTGTTTAGCATGTGTTGCACACACAGTACCTGTCGTCTTTAGCTTGTGTTGCACACACAGTACCTGTCGTGTTTAGCATGTGTTGCACACCCAGCCCCTGTCGTGATTAGCATGTGTCGCACACCCAGCCCCTGTCGTGTTTAGCATGTGTTGCACACACAGTACCTGTCGTCTTTAGCTTGTGTTGCACACACAGTACCTGTCGTGTTTAGCATGTGTTGCACACACCAGTACCTGTCTGTGTAGCATGTGTTGCTTACCCAGCCCCTGTCGTGTTAAGCATGTTTTTCACGCTCAGCCCCTGTCGTGTTTAGCATGTGTTGCACACCCAGTACCTGTCGTGTTTAGCATGTGTTGCATACACAGTCCCTGTCGAGTTTAGCATGTGTTGCACAGCCCCTTGTCGTGTTAACCATGTGTTGCACACCCAGCCCCTGTCTTGTTTAGCATGTGTTAAACACCCAGCCCTTGTCGTGTTTAGCGTGTGTTCCACACACAGTATCTGTCGCGTTTAGCATGTGTTGCACACCCAGGCCCTGTCGTGTTTAGCATGTGTTGCACACACAGTACCTGTCGTGTTTAGCATGTGTTGCACACACCAGTACCTGTCGTGTGTAGCATGTGTTGCACACCTAGCCCCTGTCGTGTTAAGCATGTTTTTCACGCTCAGCCCCTGTCGTGTTTAGCATGTGTTGCACACACAGTACCTGTCGTGTTTAGCATGTGTTGCATACACAGTCCCTGTCGAGTTTAGCATGTGTTGCACAGCCCCTTGTCGTGTTTACCATGTGTTGCACACCCAGCCCCTGTCTTGTTTAGCATGTGTTGCACACCCAGCCCTTGTCGTGTTTAGCATGTGTTCCACACACAGTACCTGTCGCGTTTAGCATGTGTTGCACACCCAGCCCCTGTCTTGTTTAGCATGTGTTGCACACACAGTACCTGTCTTGTTTAGCATGTGTTGCACACACAGTACCTGTCGTGTTGAGCATGTGTTGCACACCCAGTACCTGTCGTGTTTAGCATGTGTTGCACACCCAGCCCCTGTCGTGTTTAGCATGTGTTGCACACCCAGCCCCTGTCGTGTTTAGCATGTGTTGCACACCCAGCCCCTGTCGTGTTTAGCATGTGTTGCACACACAGTACCTCTCGTGTTTAGCATGTGTTGCACACCCAGCCCCTGTCGTGTGTAGCATGTGTTGCACACACAGTACCTGTCGTGTTTAGCATGTGTTGCACACCCAGCCCCTGTCGTGTTTAGCATGTGTTGCACACCCAGCCCCTGTCGTGTTTAGCATGTGTTGCACAGACAGTCCCCTGTCGTGTTTAGCATGTGTTGCACACACAGTACCTGTCGTGTTTAGCATGTGTTGCACACACAGCCCCTGTCGTGTTTAGCATGTGTTGCACACCCAGTACCTGTCGTGTGTAGCATGTGTTGCACACACAGTACCTGTCGTGTTTAGCATGTGTTGCACACACAGTACCTGTCGTGTTTAGCATGTGTTGCACACCCAGCCCCTGTCGTGTGTTGCATGTGTTGGACACACAGTACCTGTCGTGTTAAGCATGTGTTGCACACAGTACCTGTCGTGTTTAGCATGTAATGCTAACCCAGTCCCTACCGTGCTTAGCATGTGTTGGACGTCCAGTCCCTGTCGTGTTTAGCATGTGTTTCTCATCCAGTCCCTGTCGTGTTAAGAATGTGTTTCTCATCCAGTCCCTGTCGTGTTTAGCATGTGTTTCTCATCCAGTCCCTGTCGTGTTAAGAATGTGTTTCTCATCCAGTCCCTGTCGTGTTTAGCATGTGTTTCTCATCCAGTCCCTGTCGTGTTAAGAATGTGTTTCTCATCCAGTCCCTGTCGTGTTAAGAATGTGTTTCTCATCCATTCCCTGTCGTGTTAAGAATGTGTTTCTCATCCAGTCCCTGTCGTGTTTAGTATATGTTGCACGCCCATTCCCTGTCGTGTTGAGCATGTGTTGCACGCTCAGTCCCTGTCGTGTTTAGCATGTGTTGCACGCTCAGTCCCTGTCGTGTTTAGCATGTGTTTCACGCCAAGTCCCAGTCGTGATAAGAATGTGTTTCTCATCCAGTCCCTGTCGTGTTTAGTATATGTTGCACGCCCATTTCCTGTCGTGTTGAGCATGTGTTGCACGCTCAGTCCCTGTCGTGTTTAGCATGTGTTTCACGCTCAGTCCCTGTCGTGTTGAGCATGTGTTGCACGCTCAGTCCCTGTCGTGTTTAGCATGTGTTGCACGCTCAGTCCCTGTCGTGTTTAGCATGTGTTGCACGCTCAGTCCCTGTCGTGTTTAGCATGTGTTTCACGCCAAGTCCCAGTCGTGTTAAGAATGTGCTGATCATCCAGTCCCTGTCATGTTGAGCATGTGTTGCACGCCCAATCGCTGTCGTGTTTAGCATTTAGTGCACGCCCAGTTTGTGGGGCACCTCTACATGATGTACCATGACGTGTGCCAGTTTCGTGTTTCTCGGATCATATGAAGCATGTGGCATATTTACAGCGATAAACGACGCGCAGTCAGGAACCTTGATGGAACACCACGGAATGTCTTGCAAGGTTTCAGCAGTGTTTTTGTGACATGATTTATCGAACTTTAAAAAACTAATATTTGAAGGGACCCTCCTGATGACAGCCTTCATCGTCCTCACCTACAGTGTATGTTTACAGGTTTGAATACAACGATGGCAAGTTTCAGACCATCTTTGATTTCCTGGTACGAATGTTTGCAACTGCTGAAAATTGGAAACTCACCTTTATGGCGTTTCCGCTGTTGCGCAATTTGCCATCCATCAGGGAGGTAAGTCAGTGAATGAGTGGTGACTGTGACGGTGATTGTGACTGTGACGGTGACTGTGACGATGACTGTGACTGTGACGGTGACTGTGACGGCGACTGTGATTGTGACGATGATTGTGACGGCGACTGTGATTGTGACGGTGATTGTGACGGTGACGGTGATTGTGACGGTGACGGTGATTGTGACGGTGACGGTGACGATGATTGTGATTGTGACGGTGACTGTGACGATGATTGTGATTGTGACGGTGACGGTGACGGTGACGATGATTGTGATTGTGACGGTGACTGTGACGATGATTGTGATGGTGATGGTGACTGTGACGATGATTGTGATGGTGATGGTGACTGTGACGATGATTGTGATGGTGATGGTGACTGTGACGGTGACGGTGATTGTGACGGTGACAGTGACGATGATTGTGATTGTGACGGTGACTGTGACGATGCTTGTGATTGTGACGGTGACTGTGACGATGATTGTGATGGTGACGGTGACGGTGACGGTGATTGTGATTGTGACGGTGACTGTGACGATGATTGTGATTGTGATGGTGACTGTGACGATGATTGTGATTGTGACGGTGACTGTGACGATGATTGTGATGGTGATGGTGACTGTGACGATGATTGTGATGGTGATGGTGACTGTGACGATGATTGTGATGGTGATGGTGATTGTGACGGTGACTGTGACGATGATTGTGATTGTGACGGTGACTGTGACGATGATTGTGATGGTGATGGTGACTGTGACGATGATTGTGATGGTGATGGTGATTGTGACGGCGACTGTGATTGTGACGGTGACTGTGACGATGATTGTGATTGTGACGGTGACTGTGACGATGATTGTGATGGTGATGGTGACTGTGACGATGATTGTGATGGTGACTGTGACGGTGACTGTGATGGTGATGGTGATTGTGACGGTGACTGTGACAAATGATTGTGATGGTGATGGTGACTGTGACGATGATTGTGATTGTGACGGTGACTGTGACGATGATAGTGATGGTGATGGTGACTGTGACGATGATTGTGATTGTGAAGGTGACTGTGACGATGATTGTTATTGTGACGGTGACTGTGACGATGATTGTGATGGTGATGGTGACTGTGACGGTGACTGTGATGGTGATGGTGATTGTGACGGTGACTGTGATTGTGACTGTGACTGTGACGATGATAGTGATGGTGATGGTGACTGTGACGATGATTGTGATTGTGACGGTGACTGTGACGATGATAGTGATGGTGATGGTGACTGTGACGATGATTGTGATTGTGACTGTGACTGTGACGATGATAGTGATGGTGATGGTGACTGTGACGATGACTGTGATTGTGATGGTGACTGTGACGATGATAGTGATGGTGATGGTGACTGTGGCGATGATTGTGATTGTGACTGTGACTGTGACGATGATTGTGATGGTGACGGTGACTGTGACGGTGACTGTGATTGTGACTGTGACTGTGACGATGATAGTGATGGTGATGGTGACTGTGACGATGACTGTGACTGTGACGATGATAGTGATGGTGATGGTTACTGTGACGATGATTGTGATGGTGATGGTGACTGTGGCGATGATAGTGATGGTGATGGTGACTGTGACGATGATAGTGATGGTGACGGTGACTGTGACGGTGACTGTGATTGTGACGGTGACTGTGACGATGATTGTGATGGTGATGGTGACTGTGACGATGATAGTGATGGTGATGGTGACTGTGACGATGATTGTGATGGTGACGGTGACTGTGACGATGATTGTGATTGTGACTGTGACTGTGACGATGCTTGTGATTGTGACGGTGACTGTGACGATGATTGTGATGGTGACGGTGACGGTGACGGTGATTGTGATTGTGACGGTGACTGTGACGATGATTGTGATTGTGATGGTGACTGTGACGATGATTGTGATTGTGACGGTGACTGTGACGATGATTGTGATGGTGATGGTGACTGTGACGATGATTGTGATGGTGATGGTGACTGTGACGATGATTGTGATGGTGATGGTGATTGTGACGGTGACTGTGACGATGATTGTGATTGTGACGGTGACTGTGACGATGATTGTGATGGTGATGGTGACTGTGACGATGATTGTGATGGTGATGGTGATTGTGACGGCGACTGTGATTGTGACGGTGACTGTGACGATGATTGTGATTGTGACGGTGACTGTGACGATGATTGTGATGGTGATGGTGACTGTGACGATGATTGTGATGGTGACTGTGACGGTGACTGTGATGGTGATGGTGATTGTGACGGTGACTGTGACAAATGATTGTGATGGTGATGGTGACTGTGACGATGATTGTGATTGTGACGGTGACTGTGACGATGATAGTGATGGTGATGGTGACTGTGACGATGATTGTGATTGTGAAGGTGACTGTGACGATGATTGTTATTGTGACGGTGACTGTGACGATGATTGTGATGGTGATGGTGACTGTGACGGTGACTGTGATGGTGATGGTGATTGTGACGGTGACTGTGATTGTGACTGTGACTGTGACGATGATAGTGATGGTGATGGTGACTGTGACGATGATTGTGATTGTGACTGTGACTGTGACGATGATAGTGATGGTGATGGTGACTGTGACGATGATAGTGATGGTGATGGCGACTGTGACGATGATTGTGATTGTGACTGTGACTGTGACGATGATAGTGATGGTGATGGTGACTGTGACGATGACTGTGATTGTGATGGTGACTGTGACGATGATAGTGATGGTGATGGTGACTGTGGCGATGATTGTGATTGTGACTGTGACTGTGACGATGATTGTGATGGTGAGGGTGACTGTGACGGTGACTGTGATTGTGACTGTGACTGTGACGATGATAGTGATGGTGATGGTGACTGTGACGATGACTGTGATTGTGATGGTTACTGTGACGATGATTGTGATGGTGACGGTGACTGTGACGATGATTGTGATGGTGATGGTGACGGTGACGGTGATTGTGATGGTGATGGTGACTGTGACGATGATAGTGATGGTGACGGTGACTGTGACGGTGACTGTGATTGTGACGGTGACTGTGACGATGATTGTGATGGTGATGGTGACTGTGACGATGATAGTGATGGTGATGGTGACTGTGACGATGATTGTGATGGTGACGGTGACTGTGACGATGATTGTGATTGTGACTGTGACTGTGACGATGATAGTGATGGTGATGGTGACTGTGACGATGATAGTGATGGTGACGGTGACTGTGACGATGACTGTGATTGTGACTGTGACTGTGACGATGATAGTGATGGTGATGGTGACTGTGACGATGATAGTGATGGTGACGGTGACTGTGACGATGACTGTGATTGTGACGGTGACTGTGACGATGATAGTGATGGTGATGGTGACTGTGACGATGATTGTGATTGTGACGGTGACTGTGACGATGATTGTGATTGTGATGGTGACTGTGACGATGATTGTGATGGTGATCGTGACTGTGACGATGATAGTGATGGTGATTGTGATGGTGACTAGTGTCTAATGTATCTCAGCAGCGACTTATGTACCTCAATAGTGCCTTATATATCTCAGTAGTGTCTTATGTATCTAAGTAGTGTCTTTTGTATCTCAGTAGTGCCTTTTATATCTCAGTAGTGTCTTATGTATCTCAGTAGTGTCTTATGTATCTCAGTAGAGTCTTATGCATCTCAGTAGTGCCTTATATATCTCAGTAGTGTTTTATGTATCTCAGGTGTGTCTTTTGTATCTCAGTAGTGCCTTATGAATCTCAGAAGTGTTTTATGTATCTCAGTAGTGTCTTATGTATCTCAGTAGTGTTTAATGTATCTCAATAGTGTCTTATGTATCTCAGTAGAGTCATGTATCTCAGTAGTGTCTTATGTATCTCAGTAGAGTCTTATGTATCTCAGTAGTGTCTTATGTATCTCAGTAGTGTCTTATGTATCTCAGTAGAGTCTTATGCATCTCAGTAATTATTTACGTATCTCCGTAGAGTCTTATGCATCTCAGTAGTGCCTTATATATCTCAGTAGTGTTTTGTGTATCTCAGGTGTGTCTTATGTATCTCTGTGGTGTCTTATGTATCTCAGTAGAGTCTTATGTATCTCAGTAATTATTTATGTATCTCCGTAGAGTCTTATGTATCTCAGTAGTGCCTTATGTATCTCAGTAGTGTTTTATGTATCTCAGTAGAGTCTTATGTATCTCAGTAGTGTTTAATGTATCTCAGTAGTGTCTTATATATCCCAGTAATGTCTCATGTATCTCAGGTGTGTTTAGTGTATCTCAGTGATGCCTTATGTATCTCAGAAGAGTTGTGTGTATCTCAGTAGTGTGAAATGTATCTCAGTGATGCTTTATGTATTTTGCTTTCCCCTATTTCAGGTTTTCAATCTCACAAAAAGTGAAAATGACAAACGGAGCGTCAACTGTTGTTTGCTTGTTTCAGAATGTACACGAGTTTATACATGGCTTCATGAACATGTTCATCATCGTGAAGAATGCCGCCAAGGAACGCGAGTCAACCTTCCACTGCCCGGACGCCAGAGATTTCCTTGATATGAGTGTAAATAAAAAAAGGGAGAACTTTCTGCCGTATAGTGAGTATTCCTCCCGTCATATACATCTCTTTGTATTGGAGTGGTCGCCTTCTGTCGTTGCCATCTCTGTTGACTTGTCCCACCGTGCACGTCCTCGTGTGTCCATAGTGGGATATAGATGTATTGGGATATATATGTATTGGAGTGGTCGCCTTCTGTCGTTGCCATCTCGGTTGACCTGTCCCACCGTGCAAGTCCTTGTGTGTCCATAGTGGGATATAGATGTATTGGGATACATATGTATTGGAGTGGTCGCCTTCTGTCGTTGTCATCTCGGTTGACCTGCCCCACCGTGCAAGTCCTCATGTGTCAATATATAGTGGGATATAGATGTATTGGGACATAGATGTATTGGAGTGGTCGACTTCTGTCGTTGCCATCACGGTTGACCTACCCCAACGTGCAAGTCATCATGTGTCAATAGTGGGATATAGATCTTCAATAAACTGCGATAATAACAAACTTAAAGGGACCACAAAATGTAGTTCGTAATAACACGTAGTTCGTTATAAGCACGTAAACATCATAATTACAGCAAATGGACGGGGGCAAAAACAATTCGTTATATCCGTCAGTTCGTTATAAGCGTGTTCGTTGTTAACGTAGTTTACTTATTGGGATTTTAGTATTGCTTAAGCTGAGAATATATGTTAGTGTGACCTTCGCTTCTGCATCTCTCCGGGGTCTACGACATACAGCAGCTGTAACAGCAAGTCTTGTTTGACCTGAGCCCGGGAAGGGGTGTGGCCTTTACATGCCTATACAAATGAGTGATGGATTCCGTCTGATTTTAAGATGGCCGAACTTGAATCATGAGATGGCTTTCATCAGTGTGGCTTTTTTGAGGACTTGAGTTGAACTTTGGAAAGCCCACTGCCGACTTTACTTGCGCCCCTCCGGGTTAGATATGGAGGGTCAATATGGGCTTGGATTTTATGTTGTCGCTGTGTTGTCCAATGCTAGCGTCACCAGTGTGTCTGTCTGATCATTTCCGTGAATGATTGCCCCGCATATATAGTTTCTTTATTTGTATAGATTGTTGGTTGTATTTGGTATAGAGTTTGAGTTTCTGCCCCTTATTGTTTGGAGTTTCAATTGGTGTGGTAAAGTAAATATATTTTGTCGTATAGTGAACATCGCATGTCTGGGGAGTAACGTTCTGTGTTCTGTTGTGCTTCTAGGGGAGTCTGTTCCAATCTTGATGGACGTATTGGTGGGATCTGTCGGGACGTTTCCGGGCACCTTGGACTGGTTCTTTCTCTACATGGTGCGGAATCCTGTTGCGCAGACTCGATGTCAGGAGCAGATTGATCTGGTGAGCGAGATGGTCATTGAAGATACTTTGATAACCTTCACTAATTATGGCGATCTTTCGAAACGCGCAAGTCCCTCAACAGTAAAGTGATCTGCACCCATTACTTACATGAAAATGTATACAGCCGTCTAACGAGTGAGTGAGTTAAAATTTAAAGTCACATCGGCAGTATGTCAGCCATATCGTGACGTTAATTTGGTTCTACATAATAACTACCTTCCAGTGAGCACTTGGGATACATACGTCTTCGTGACGCCAGGGAGTGCTCTGATCAAAACGCATCAGTACCTCTCCATAGTGTAAAATCATTGCGTCATTAACCTCTGCTACACGGGTCCTGTCTTGTAATGTCCTTGTGTTTCAACACGTTAAGGGCTGTACACTCGCGGTGCTGCCTGTAGTGTAGAGGGCTGTACACTCGCGGTGCTGCCTGTACTGTAGAGGGCTGTACACTCGCGGTGCTGCCTGTACTGTAGAGGGCTATACACTCGCGGTGCTGCCTGTACTGTAGAGGTCTATACACTCGCGGTGCTGCCTGTAGTGTAGAGGGCTATACACTCGCGGTGCTGCCTGTAGTGTAGAGGGCTATACACTCGCGGTGCTGCCTGTAGTGTAGAGGGCTATACACTCGCGGTGCTGCCTGTAGTGTAGAGGGCTATACACTCGCGGTGCTGCCTGTAGTGTAGAGGGCTATACACTCGCGGTGCTGCCTGTAGTGTAGAGGTCTATACACTCGCGGTGCTGCCTGTAGTGTAGAGGGCTATACACTCGCCATGCTGCCTGTACTGTAGAGGTCTATACACTCGCGGTGCTGCCTGTACTGTAGAGGGCTATACACTCGCGGTGCTGCCTGTACTGTAGAGGGCTATACACTCGCGGTGCTGCCTGTACTGTAGAGGGCTATACACTCGCGGTGCTGCCTGTAGTGTAGAGGGCTATACACTCGCGGTGCTGCCTTTAGTGTAGAGGGCTATACACTCGCGGTGCTGCCTGTACTGTAGAGGGCTATACACTCGCGATGCTGCCTGTACTGTAGAGGTCTATACACTCGCGGTGCTGCCTGTACTGTAGAGGGCTATACACTCGCGGTGCTGCCTGTAGTGTAGAGGGCTATACCCCCGCGGTGCTGCCTGTACTGTAGAGGGCTATACACTCGCGTTGCTGCCTGTAGTGTAGAGGGCTATACACTCGCGGTGCTGCCTGTACTGTAGAGGTCTATACACTCGCGGTGCTGCCTGTAGTGTAGAGGGCTATACACTCGCGGTGCTGCCTGTACTGTAGAGGTCTATACACTCGCGGTGCTGCCTGTAGTGTAGAGGGCTATACACTCACGGTGCTGCCTGTAGTGTAGAGGGCTATACCCCCGCGGTGCTGTCTGTAGTGTAGAGGGCTATACCCCCGCGGTGCTGCCTGTACTGTAGAGGGTTATACACTCGCGGTGCTGCCTGTAGTGTAGAGGGCTATACCCCCGCGGTGCTGCCTGTACTGTAGAGGGCTATACACTCGCGGTGCTGCCTGTAGTGTAGAGGGCTATACACTCGCGGTGCTGCCTGTAGTGTAGAGGGCTATACACTCGCGGTGCTGCCTGTACTGTAGAGGGCTATACCCCCGCGGTGCTGCCTGTACTGTAGAGGGCTATACACTCGCGGTGCTGCCTGTAGTGTAGAGGGCTATACACTCGCGGTGCTGCCTGTAGTGTAGAGGGCTATACACTCACGGTGCTGCCTGTACTGTAGAGGGCTATACACTCGCGGTGCTGCCTGTACTGTAGAGGGCTATACACTCGCGTTGCTGCCTGTAGTGTAGAGGGCTGTACACTCGCGGTGCTGCCTTTAGTGTAGAGGTCTATACACTCGCGGTGCTGCCTGTAGTGTAGAGGGCTATACACTCGCGGTGCTGCCTGTACTGTAGAGGGCTATACACTCGCGGTGCTGCCTGTAGTGTAGAGGGCTATACACTCGCGGTGCTGCCTTTAGTGTAGAGGGCTATACACTCGCGGTGCTGCCTGTACTGTAGAGGGCTATACACTCGCGGTGCTGCCTGTACTGTAGAGGGCTATACACTCGCGGTGCTGCCTGTACTGTAGAGGGCTATACACTCGCGGTGCTGCCTGTACTGTAGAGGGCTATACACTCGCGGTGCTGCCTGTACTGTAGAGGGCTATACACTCACGGTGCTGCCTGTACTGTAGAGGGCTATACACTCACGGTGCTGCCTGTAGTGTAGAGGGCTATACACTCGCGGTACTGCCTGTAGTGTAGAGGGCTATACACTCGCGGTGCTGCCTGTACTGTAGAGGGCTATACACTCACGGTGCTGCCTGTACTGTAGAGGGCTATACACTCGCGGTGCTGCCTGTAGTGTAGAGGGCTATACACTCACGGTGCTGCCTGTACTGTAGAGGGCTATACACTCGCGGTGCTGCCTGTACTGTAGAGGTCTATACACTCGCGGTGCTGCCTGTAGTGTAGAGGGCTATACACTCGCGGTGCTGCCTGTAGTGTAGAGGGCTATACACTCGCGGTGCTGCCTGTAGTGTAGAGGGCTATACACTCGCGGTGCTGCCTGTAGTGTAGAGGGCTATACACTCGCGGTGCTGCCTGTAGTGTAGAGGGCTATACACTCGCGGTGCTGCCTGTAGTGTAGAGGGCTATACACTCGCGGTGCTGCCTGTAGTGTAGATGGCCCCCTGAAGCGGTACGTGGTGCGTGTTTACACGGCGGACACACTAGTCCGAGGCCATGATCATCAACGATTGCACTCAATCACCAACTATTGGTGATGTTATATGCTTAGTTAGTTGTAAATATGAAGGTGCATGTAGGTGTACTGGTTGCTACACCAATGTGTAAACCCTAACGACCAAACTGTAGATGTACTGGTTGCTACACCAATGAGTTAACCCTAACGACCAAACTGTAGGTGTACTGGTTGCTACACCAATGTGTTAACCCTAACGACCAAACTGTAGGTGTACTGGTTGCTACACCATGTGTTAACCCTAACGACCAAACTGTAGGTGTACTGGTTGCTACACCACTGTGTTAACCCTAACGACCAAACTGTAGGTGTACTGGTTGCTACACCATGTGTTAACCCTAACGACCAAACTGTAGGTGTACTGGTTGCTACACCATGTGTAAACCCTAACGACCAGACTGTAGGTGTACTGGTTGCTACACCATGTGTAAACCCTAACGACCAAACTGTAGGTGTACTGTTTGCTACACCAATGTGTTAACCCTAACGACCAGACTGTAGGTGTACTGGTTGCTATACCAATGTGTAAACCCTAACGACCAAACTGAAGGTATATTGGTTGCTACACCAATGAGGAAACCCTAACGACTAGACTGTAGGTATATTGGTTGCTACACCAATGTGTTAACCCTAACGACCAGACTGTAGGTGTACTGGTTGCTACACCAATGTGTAAACCCTAACGACCAGACTGTAGGTATATTGGTTGCTACACCAATGTGTTAACCCTAACGACCAGACTGTAGGTGTACTGGTTGCTACACCAATGTGTAAACCCTAACGACCAAACTGTAGGTGTACTGTTTGCTACACCAATGTGTAAACCCTAACGACCAGACTGTAAGTATATTGGTTGCTACGTCAATGTGTTAACCCTAACGACCAAACTGTAAGTATATTGGTTGCTACACCAATGTGTTAACCCTAACGATCAAACTGTAAGTATATTGCTATCAATGGCTATCAAAGAAGTTGTAGGTATATTGGTTGATACAAACGACCATATTGTTGAGTATTGATGCGAGTACTGATGCACCTCTCAAAGCATCTGTGGAACGCTACCAGTCTGTCTCACAGCCGATCTTAGCATTCAAAGCTTCAATTCGTTTGACTACATCTGCTGTTTACAGGAGATCGGCAAAGGTCGGTACGTGACATTGGCAGACCGACCCAGCCTACCCTATGTAGAAGCAACGATTGCCGAGGTGCAGAGACTGGCAAGTGTTGGTAGGTTATAAAAAGACTCACTGTTCCCTGCTACTAGGGCTTCAAAGAGTACCCGAGTACTCGGGCCTGGGCCGCGTTAATGAGACTCGAGTCCAGTTTGAAAGACCCGAGTCTCAGCCAAGGGAGATAACTCTCATTTGGTCGACTTTCAATAAGTTAATAGGAATGTGTCTTCATGTAACTTTCTTTTTCATGAGTAATCAATTAAATCAAATAAAAGTGTCTATAGCTTTACTTTTAGTTGTTTTTCGAAATAATACACTTATTTACAACCATTTCATAAGGATATTTACAGGTTTAAGGGATTACTTAGAAGTTGATGGATGACAACGTGGACACAGTTTTTTTTTATGGATAACAACAGTATTAATGAAGCTGTTATCCATACAAAAGTGTCTACCTTGTACTTTATTTCTTGCTTAAAAGGGATGTTTTACGAAACTATTAAACTGTCGCAAGCAGTTGACCTATCCATTATAAATTAGCGTCGTAACGTTGATCATTATTAAATCAATATTTTCATGAGATATTTATAACTGGACATCACTTTATTGAATATTAACATTGTGTTACTGTATCTCATTCTAATTATTATGTCGAGAAAACGTTTTATAGAAGTCAATTATAAATTTAAAAGCCTAGAAATCTTTCAATGTGGGTTTTTTTTCAATTAAGAAAATTTGTGATAACATTGAAAATGTTGCTTTTAACTAACATCACGTGAGCAATATTTTTTCAACCTGAACATGGCGTGATTTATATTGTTGACAATTCTTATTTCAATGAAGCTCCTGCGAATCAGCATACAAATTTCGAAGGTACTTTATTTGATACGCGGTTTTCTTAGTGATCTATGATGTCATTGCGACTCTTTCGTTTTGTATACGATAGGACAATTACCAATTTTATTGAACAGATGTATAATCAGCACGAGCCGAGTCTTACCCCTAGACCCGTTGAAGCCCTAATGCTGACCCATGGAAGGCTCACTCTTTCCCATTGAAGTGTTGGCAATCTTTCCCATTAAAGTGTTGACAATCCTTCCCATTAAAATGTTGACACTTTTTCCCATTAAAGTGTAGACAATCTTTCTCATTTAAGTGTAAAAGATACTTCCCATTAAAGTGCTAACTATCTTTCCCATGAAAGTGTTAACTATCTTTCCCATTAAATTGTTGACAATTTTGCCAATTAAAACGTCAACAATCTTTCTCATCAAAATGTAAACAATCTTTCCCAATAAAGTGTTGAGAATCTTTCCCATTAAAGTGTTGACAATCTTTCCCATTTAAGTCTTGACTATCTTTCCCATTGACGTGTTAACTATCTTTCCCATTAAAGTGTTGACAATCTTTTCCATTAAAGTGTAAACAATCATTCTCATCAAAATGTAAACAATATTTCCCATCAACGTGTAAACAATCTTTCCAATCAAAGTGTTGACAATCCTTCCCATTAAAATGTTGACACTTTTTCCCATTAAGTGTAGACAATCTTTCTCATTAAAGTGTATAAGTATCCCATTAAAGTGTTAACTATCTTTCCCATTAAAGTTAAAGTGTAGGCAGCCTTCCCATCAAAGTTTCACAGCTTTCCTCATTGAAGCGTCAACAATCTTTCCAATTAAATTGATTCAAATACAATTTTATTTTATTAATAGATATAAATCTTGAGCTTACTTACTTTTTTCCATGTATAATTAAGATGTAATGTGTACTGAATTATAATCATAGATCGGAAAATATCTCTATTTTACATTTGTAACAGCGACGTAAAACCATACTCACTCACTCACTCACTCAGGAGGAATACAGGCATGTTGGGCAATATTTCATAATCTTGTGATGCAATCAGGTTGATGAAAGAGTACGTGGATGGATGGTTACATATTTACTTATTGAGATGTTGCTTGGGAGATTACAAAGTTCACACGCAAATATGCAATTCATCTACAGTGGAATAGGTTCCCTTAGTGAGACAATTTGAGTCTTTCTTCACATGGTGTAGAATATGTATTCCTGTATTTACTGCACCGTTAAAGGTGCTGCAGTGAAATATTTAAGTAGGTTTCAATGTTTAAAAGTGATTTAAAATGTTTGTAAGAGTATGAGTCTGATAGGGCGTTGACTTTGCCGCATCAGGTAAATTGTCAAAGAGTTTCTGCTTTTGTTTGTATTTGTCAGGTGTAACAATACACTCCTTGTCTTGCATTCAGCCTCCTTTACAATGCGCAAGAATCTGGAGGCGACGACAATCAGTGGCTATACAATTCCAAAAGACACAATAGTCATGTGCAACCTCCGGTCCTGCCACACAGACGCCAAGTACTGGCCAGACCCGGACACGTTCAGGCCAGAGCGCTTCCTAGACTCAGAGGGACGCTTCTCCAGGAAACATCCAGCATTTGTTCCCTTCTCAGCAGGTGGGAAATCCCCTTGACAGCACAGCTTTCTCAGACAATTTCTCAGGGTACATCTATCAATGTCAGCAGGTGGGGAATCCCCTTGATAGCACAGCTTTCTCAGACAAGGTCTCAGGTTACATCTATCAATGTAAGCAGGTGGGGAATCCCCTTGATAGCGCAGCTTTCTTAGATAAGGTCTCAGGGGACATCTATCAATGTCAGTAGGTGGGGAATCCCCTTGATAGCACAGCTTTCTTAGACAAGGTCTCATGGGACATCTATCAATGTAAGCAGGTGGGGAATCCCCTGGATAGCACTGCTTTCTTAGACAAGGTCTCAGGGCGCATCTATCAATGTCAGTAGGTGGGGAATCCCCTTGATAGCGCAGCTTTCTTAGATAAGGTCTCAGGGGACATCTATCAATGTCAGTAGGTGGGGAATCCCCTTGATAGCACAGCTTTCTTAGACAAGGTCTCATGGGACATCTATCAATGTCAGCAGGTGGGGAATCCCCTTGATAGCACAGCTTTCTTAGACATGGTCCCAGGGTACATCTATCAATGTCAGCAAGGTGGGGAATCCCCTTGATAGCACAGTTTTCTTAGACAGGGCTCAGGGTACATCTATCAATGTCAGCAAGGTGGGGAATCCCCTTGATAGCACAGTTTTCATGCTCACAGGCAGAAGGTTCTCATGTCACATCTCATCAGTGCTGACATATTGAAGGTGGGGAATCCAGCTACCTGTTAATAGCACTGTTGCTGTGACCCATGTAAGATTATCTAACACTTGTTCAGACACATGTACGATCCTCTACCTGTTGTTCAGACCCATGTAGGATCCTTGACCTGTTGTTCAGACCCATGTCAGATCATCTACCTGTTGTTCGGACCCATGTAAGCTCATCTACCTTTTGTTCAGATACATGTATAGATCCTCTCCCTGTTGTTCAGACCCATGTATGATCCTCTACCTGTTGTTCAGACCCATGTAAGATCCTCTACCTGTTGTTCACACATATGTAATATCCTCTACCTGTTGTTCAGACCCATGTCAGATCATCTTCCTGTTGTTCAGACCCATGTAAGCTCATCTACCTGTTGTTCAGATACATGTAAGATCCTCTACCTGTTGTTCAGACCCATGTAAGATCCTCTACCTGTTGTTCAGACCCATGTAAGATCGTCTATATGTTGTTCAGACCCATGTAAGATCATCTATATGTTGTTGTAATCCATATAAGATCCATGTAAGTTGTTATTTTACAGGTCCGCGTCAGTGTGTTGGGGAGATCTTAGCCAAGGACCAGCTCTTGATCTTCACGGTGACCCTCCTGCAACACTTCAAGTTCTCGAGGCCGGAAGGGGAGTGTTTGGACGACCAGCAGACTTTCATGTCGGCTCGATGCGCCAAGCAATACAAAGTGATTGCAACCAAGAGATAGTTCCTCAACCTCACAGACGTTGATAATAAAACACAACCTTACTGATATCGTGACATTAAACAAAATGCTACCTGAATTGTGATGCTTTTTTTTGACAGATGCTGGAATATCTTTGGTTTGATTTCAATCTTATAAATTAAATCATTTTATATCAAAATTAAGTTCCGTGGTTAAGCAAAGTATTTAGTAAATACGAGAGCTGGTCATAAAGTTGTAACACTAAGAAATAAAACCAACAATAGTGAAAGTGTTATTATTAACTTTATTTTTCAACATAATCTCCCTGCTTTGCAATACACTTCTCATATCGATAGTGAAGTTTTTAAATTCCAGTCAAGAAGTTTTTTTAAGCCATCCTGAAAAACCCATTCACGGCAACATTGAGGACAGCGTTGTGGTCACATCGCTTTCCACGAAGGTATTCTTTTAGTTTAGGAAACAGGTGGCAATCACTTGGTGCCAGGTCTGGCGAGTATTAAGTGTCAGGAACCGCTTCAAACCCACATTGTCGCACAGCAGCCTTTTCAAGTCGAGAGGTGTGAGAAGAGGTATTGTCACGAAGTAGTATAATTCCAGCTGTCAGCATTCCTCGCCGATTTCTTTGATAGAGTCTCTCTGGCGATGAAACTGTTATCAAGCTGGGGTTGTTATCCATTAAGTTTTACGTTTTATTGCTTTTTCTGCAACTTCCAGAATGCAAATCAGTCAATTAATTCAGGTTCTGTCGAAGCTGTACTTTGGAAAGCTAAGCTCTACGTATACATGACGATTGTTATAATGATTCACCAAGCTGCCATACACCGCATGGTGGTGACGTTTGTCCATACACCGCACTGTGGTCAGTCAATTGTCCCACAAGGATAAGTGTGGTTTTACAAAATCACCAGCAGTATCAATTTGCGAGGACAGCCTCATGTATGACGTGGACGTCTTCGACTTCACGCGAACCTTGCGAGCACGGGAAGGTGTTGGTAGATCAAATGAACATCTAACCCACGCTGTCTCTTTGATTAAACTGTAAACTGCGCATGCCCGCATATGTGTTATATAACCTGACTGCTACCCCAGGTTTTCCCTGTTAATGGCTGATACTGGTAGACCGCCCCCTGGTGAAGCGATAATGAAAAGAGCGTCTGCCCGGAGAGCGGAAGGTCGATGGTTCGATCGTCACCGCTACCTGATGTTACCCTGTCTGGCGCTCGTCTTTGACGGGATTAAACAAGGACTGGTCGACTTGGAGTGACCACTTTAATTTGTAATTCAATGACCACTGTGATGTTATAATTATCACGAATATCCTACGTCTATTAAATCATAGCCACAAATTCCCATTTTGGCAATAATCACACTATAAAATCTTAAGATTTTTCAACAGACGTCCTCTCCACTGCCAATTGTCCCAATAGTTTTGAGGTGGACCCCATCCTTTGTTAATCTGCCTGTGTGTGTTGGATCAACAAGCAAAAGTTCTTGTTCATCAATCCAAACACTTATCGGACAATAATTCACAGCTAGTCAAGACCTAGAAGTTTACAGCAGACAACCTGCGATCGTCATAAGAGTACAGCAGACAACCTGCGATCGTCATAGGATTACAGCAGACAACCTGCTATCGTCATAGGAGTACAGCGGACAACCTACGATCGTCATAGGATTACAGCAGACAACCTGCGATCGTCATAAGAGTACAGCAGACAACCTGCGATCGTCATAGGATTACAGCAGACAACCTGCGATCGTCATAGGAGTACAGCAGACAACCTACGATCGTCATAGGATTACAGCAGACAACCTGCGATCGTCATAAGAGTACAGCAGACAACCTGCGATCGTCATAGGATTACAGCAGACAACCTGCGATCGTCATAGGAGTACAGCAGACAACCTACGATCGTCATAGGATTACAGCAGACAACCTGCGATCGTCATAGGATTACAGCAGACAACCTACGATCGTCATAGGATTACAGCAGACAACCTGCGATCGTCAACTTGCTGATAACGGTGGTACAGGAGGAAGATCGTTGACGTAGGTAGGTAGATTTAGTTAACGTACTGCGGGGTATGAATGCCTCCCTACTACCGTCATCGGGAGTCTGCTAGGGGTGTGGAACTGATCAAGCAATCGGAGACCCTCACCCCAGATTTAGTACTTGTGGAAAGAACATGTGCACTCCAAGATCCAGATACACGTATTGCAAGGACGTATCAAAGGAGAAAGTTCTCAAGCTCTATAACGCCCTTAATTGTCCGAACTCCAAGAGGAAAACCAGATCATCGGACAAAAATAATTCTGCATCGCTTTCACCTAAAACCAAAACTGAATCTAAATCAAATGTAGAAAGATGTTATCTCTCAGGTGAACTGACTTCCTCAGTGAAATACGCGGGCAACAAAACAATGATGTATAAAGAGAACCCGCTTTTTTCTGTTGAGGAAAAATCACGTTACTCAACCCACCCGACCAAAACAACGGATCAGGCAGCAAGCGCTGGTCTTGGGACCGCAGCCTTATGCTCGGGTGCTATGGGTAGTTTGGTCACTCATGGTTTTAAAGAAGTATCTGAGCCCAAACCTATTCCGTTCTCCCCCTTGAGAATGAGTGAATGGTCTCAATCATTGACCACAACCATGTCCGAAATGTTTGACAAACGCTTCCAGGCTATATCACAGGATATAAATGAGCTAAAACAAATGCAAATCTGAAGGATACGACCAGATCTAGATCACATAATTCAGATGGTAAACAAAAGTACCATTCTCATACACGTCACAGGTCAGAATGTTCACAGGACCAAAGACGCGATGTATCCAGGGAGAGTAGTCACTATAGCCCTGCCTCACCCCGTGCTTCTCGGGAAAAGAAGCATGTATCACGGGAGTCACACAAAAATAAACACCATTCTTCCAGCCGGGCATATCAACCTCACACGCCCAAGATTGGGGAAAATAGTGCTAAAGGTTCCCAGGACAAAAAGCGTGCTCCCTCAGCCACAGTCACATGTGCGAACTGTGTCTGTAGCTCGGGCAGTTATGAATCACCTAGCTATTACAGTTATGCAGCACAATCCTCGTGCAGCTCGAGCCAGAAGTCGTGGCAGAGTGATAAGCATGTATAACGTGAAACCATCTCCCCCGGTGGAATGAGCCAGGGGGGTTGTACCCAGAGGATTTTACCGACGCTTCTCACGAGGAATCTTATAGTACACACTCACGTTCAAACCAAACGACTACTCATTTAAAGATATTATTTATGAATTCTATCAGTTGATACCATCTGTCAAACCACCTAGCAATGAGGTAGAGAATCCAGTGCTTATTGAATGGGCGGCTTATGAAAATCCTGTAGAAAAGAGGGAAGGTTTTCATACATTACTTTATCCGCCATTCACTTTACAATGACGAAATTAATCGCGTCTACTAGCAGACGTATGCCTGGTCCCCTCAAAGGGAGACAATGCTATGAAACCGACAAGTGTCCGTTCCCCACATCTCCTACCATTCATGAGGAATAGTTTGATCTGGTCAGACACCCTTATTTGAGAGTGAATGTTGAGATGAACCAATTCAGGAATTTGACAATGTTAATAAGCAGATGATAAACATTAGCACGTATATGAACTGGTTTGCAGCAGACATGTACTTTCCCCTGGAAATTAAAGTCCAACCTTGTGACACTAGAGTTGAAATGAACTTGGAACAAGTTTTTCATTCATAGCGCGCTGGATAGCATTCTGAAGATGCACAGGTATGGATGTCCGTAATTCCTGGTTACTGAACGGAATCATCTTTTTCAACAGGTTGGACACAATTTCTCAGATCTACTAAGACGAAGTTTGATGTCTCACTCGATATTGGCCCCCCAGTCCTTCAAAGGCAGACTAACTTCTGTGATTGATGAAAGTGTATGCACTACTAATCAGAGATTCAAAAACTCTAGTATCTCCCAGGCATCGAAGTTCAATGAAGTTAGAGGTAGAGTTCGTGACACTCTGCATCCAAGAACCTCTCAACCAAACCATATCGACCATGCTATGTTATGGTACCTCGATTAACATTTTACAAAAATTCATCTTAACGCCTATCGCAGGACCAGTCGACGGTCGTCTGTCACTACGACGAAAATTGGAAGTCAATGACGCACGACCCTTGGCCAATTTTAAGCGGTAAAAACAGGGTACAAACTCCATTTTCAACAGCATCCCGAGCTTGTAGTCCACCCCAAAGGATGACGTTTTCATCTAGCAGGAGCAATATCAGCGGCCGCAAGTTTGGCGACACGATAACTGCTAGACAAAGGGGCCGTCAGCGTCTTACAGAAGTCGTACACTACAAGAGACTTTTACTCTCCAGGTTTTCTGGTCCACAAAAGAACTCTTCAAAGATGTGCATGATAATAGACCTAAAGGTACTCAACAGAGAAAACCTACAATATCCTCAAAAGATTCAAATGGAATCAGTAAAAAAGTTCTCTCAGACTAGGAGATTGGCTAGTCAGTCTGGACCTACAGGTTGCCTACCTGCATGTGCCTATTCACCCGAGTTTTCGACCCTACCTCCGCTTTGCAGTAAACGGTCTAAGGTTCGAACTCAATGTGCTACCATTCGTAATATCAATAGCACAATTACGCGGCATTTAACACGGATTACCCCATCATTGGCTTGGCTCATCTAAATCTTGTAAGACTTCACAACAATTTCCTCTCAGCCGATCAAGATTTATTGCAGATAAAGCAGAACGAAATATTTAAGTTTATACTCCTATCTCATTTGTGTTTCCTGGTACATCCCATCAGGTCGGAATTATCAAGACATTGTGTACATAGGGGCGAGGTTTCAACTTTCAAAAGGCATTTTACAACCCCAAGAGGACAGATATCTAAGAGCTATAGAGAGGATTAAGAGTGCCCTCGAACAACCCAGCAGGTAACGTCGTTGGTGGATGTCTTGCCTAGGTACCTTGACATCACTATATTTCAGCTACACAGAACCACAGGAAGAAATGAAAACGGCCCTTTATCTCTTGCAAACCTTTTGTCAGAAAAGGAAATTACTAAGCCGAATGGCTTAAGACCACTATATCTGACAGTTATCGTGAAGCCCAGCTCTCAACACTAAAATGGGGAAGTTGCAAAGCTCATGAAATTCGTGAACTAGCTAAAAGTCTGGCCTCATGGAATTCAGTTGCCAAGTCGAACAAGTATCAAGCTCCCAAAGGAGATCCTACAATACTTTTACTAACTTCTACCTACGAGACGTACAACACGATTTAGAGGGACTATACTCCCTAGGCCCCTTGGTGGCTGCCCAGCCTAGAGTCACAAATTTAGCGTGTCATGATGTTGATGGAGGTGACGCTGTGCCTGTGAAACAACATCCCTACCAGATGAATCCAATCAAGCTTGAAGCTCTGAAGAAGGAAGTTAAATACATGCCAGACAATGACAGCCAGGGTGTCGAAGCCTACATTGATGATGTCATCAATCATTCTATGGAATGGGACGAACACCTGAAGAGGATCCGTGCCTTCTTCGAGAGACTCACTGAAGTCACTGTAAATTTAGTGAAAAGTGCATTTGCACAGGCACATGGGCAATTTTCAGGTCTTATCACTGGTCAAGGTTAGGTGCAGCCTGTACAAGCAAAAGTGGAAGCTATTTCAAAATTCAAAATTCCTAAAAACAAAAAGGAGATTTCGGAGTATGGCTGGTTAATACCGTAAATTTTGTCAAAATGCCTCACATGTGGTAGTTCCTCTCACTAATTTGCAAGGCAAAAATATGAAATTTGTTTGGGAAAGCAATTGTCATGACTTCTCCTGTTCTCCAAGCATCAAACTTTGAAAACAAATTTAAATACAATCAAGTCCCGTTAATCCGACATCGATGGTTGCATATGATTATGTCGGATTAACGAGAATGTCGGATAAACGAAATTTAGTAGTATCAACTTGTATCTGAACTTAATAAGATTGAGGTAATCTAAGCATGTGAATTATACTGTTTTCTTTATTTAAAGCATTAATTGTTTATTGTTAAGCAAGTTTCTCTCTGCTGCCGTTGTAATATGCAGCTACCAGCCGATTCGTCTCGCATCAAAACACGGGCTGTGTACTCGCGGGCAGATGACCACGGAATACGCTTATCACTGTGTCAGATTAACGAGACTGGATAATGAGTGATTTCGGTAATTCGTTGCAAATTAGGTGTGTCGGAGTCGGAGTGTGAGACTGTCGGATTAACAGGTCTAAATAGCACTGATTTAATCGGTTCCCATCATTAGTGTCGGATAAAGCCGATTGTCGGATTAATGAGTGTCGGATTAACGAGACTTGACTGTAAGCAGTTGATGCTAGTGACATTAGTCCTGGAGCGTTCTGTTGTGGAGCCGTCCTGTTGTGGAGCCGTCCTGTTGTGGAGTCGTCCTGTTGCAGGAAGATGCATCAGGCTTTGATCATCCTGTTATTATTCATGAAAATTTGACAAACTTCAGAGAAATTATTCCACCATTAAAAAAGAAACTCTTGCAACAATTTGAGGTGGACTTGGCTACTACTTTGTTTCCTAGTCAAGTGTTGACTGATAACGATCCACTGACATTTCTTCATAAAATTAAGAACAAAAACCAACACCTTGTGTGTCGAATATCACAGGCTGATTAATCTGTGGCTTTGATTTATGGTTTGGAGTTGCTATGCAGTTGTGATATTCTCCACTGTGGTATGGATCGTAAGATACCATGAAACAGGAAACACCTAATCAACACTTCATTGAATTCAACTGTGAATGCCTTTGAAATTCTCACAATGTGTCCAATGGTCTCTAATGGTACGAAATAATACATGCTGTTTTCATACTTTGTAACTACGGTCACGACATGTCATCAACATCCAATCTAATTAGAAGAAATATATATTTCACTAACAGAGAGGTGTTGTGTGATTCAATTTAGACTAAGTCACAGAAAGGTTAAATAAATGTAACCACCGAATTTGGTGACCAGAGTTTAGACCGCACAAAAATAGAGGTACTTGTGTTTTCAATAAAACACTGAACGATAAGTGGTGTGATTTCTTACTGCAAAGTTGGTCCCCCATCTACTAGGAAATCCTGCTTGTTAATAGCCTGGTCTAACGATAAAGAGTCAACAAAGGGTATATAATAATACGGTTATAATATTGGAAGGGTATAAAGTAACTGAAACCAGCAGCCACGAGAAAGACCATAGGTTCTTCTGTTTGAGCCATTGGCCAAGTAAACTAACTGGTCAACGTGGTCAGTCTGACCTTACGCAATGAGGGAACCATTTCAAACGTTACGTCTTGCCTGTCGTAACAGGACTGGGTGGTCATCGCATCGCAGTTGCGTGGATCGATGCCAATGATGTCAACCACTGGATTGTCAGGTCCAGACTCGATTATTTCCAGACCGCCGACATAAAGCTGGAATATTGCTGAGTGCGGTTACACAACAAAGAAAGAAAGAAAGAAAGAGAAACAACGAAATAATCTGTTTATCAGGTGATTTATTTTGTACAAACAGCACATGTCAATTCCCAGCCATTTACATATGGTGGACATGGAAGAGAACCACATGCAGATTTGACCAAGTAAAAGATATGACCTTCTTTGTTTGCATGGCCTCCTGGTACGGATTCCGGGTCTTCATCTACACACACATAATCAGTTGAACCTGTGTATCCAGTGGCTCCCCCGAAGAGGTAGCCCTTGTATTCCAGATGCCACTGAGGGAAGCACTCATTCCTGGCAGGGACCATGACAGCACTCCTCCTGTGACGACTGCGGCACACCACGCAAGGGACATCGTGTTCATACATGTTGTGCAGAGGACCTTTTGCTGCAGGAGTTTCATACTCAGACCCATAGAGAGAGCCGCCTGTAACTGATGCAGTATGGTTGGCGTAGATCGGAGTGTCAGGGAGGCACAGAGTTGTCCCTGGTCCACCCTTGGCCGTGTAATGGCTTCCACCTGCATAACCTGATTGAAAGAAACTGGTCAAGTCATATTTGTCATCTGGAAATCAGATAACCCAGGGAATATCAAATATAGGTCACCTCTTATATTTCTTAATATGGTCTTTTGAAAGACAAATATGGATTCATTGAGACTATTTTGCTCTTTCTCAAATTAAAAACCACATGAGGTGAATTCAAGATATCGTTTTTCTTGGAAGCTTCCCCTTTATCAACTACTTAACATCAAAATATTTCAAACCTTACCGTAGATTGTGCGTAACGATTTATATACCCCTTTGTCTTGTGAAGAAAAACAATTAACCCATTACTTTCTGTTTGGGAAATCATTCATTCATCGAAGAATATGTTCCAGTAAACACATTCCCACATGGGCAAAATGTGTGAAGTCCGTTTCTGGTGTCCCCCGCCATGATATTGCTGGAATTAATATAATTGCTAAAAGCTGCGTAAACCATTACTCACTCACTCGCTCCAATAAGACAACAATAACGATAAATTCTGTGACACTAGGTGATATCTGTGACACAAATTCACAAATTCAAACCAAGTTTTGAGCCTTTGAATGTTGTCACCCTGTTCAAGTAACTGTTTGTATCTTAGAAACCATTGCAGATAGATTGTAAGCGTGATAAAAAAAGGTCAACTCGGAATCAATTGTTTAGTATCCATGCAGCATGGTTGTTGGTTGGTTGTTGTGTTGTTTAACGCCGCACTCAGCAATATTCCAGCTATATGACGGCGGTCTGTAAATAATCGAGTCTGGACCAGACAATCCAGTGATTAATATCATGAGCATCGATCCACGCAATTGGGATCGATGACATGCATCAACCAAGTCAGCGAGCCTGACAACCCGATCCCGTTAGTCGCCTCTTACGACAAGCATAGTCGCCTTTTACGGCAAGCATGGGTTGCTGAAGACCTATTCTATACCGGAATCTTCACGATTCCCATGCAGCATGGTATCTCAGTGGGCTAGCTCTATAAAACCGGCATTGGGACGGACTTGGTACAAGTAGCCGCGGCCCGTGAAGGTCCGGCTTAGAATAGGTCTTCATCAATCCATGCTTGTCGTAAGAGGCGACTATGCTTGTCGTAAGATTTGATTGTTTGTTTGTTTGTTGTTTAACGCCGCACTCAGCAATATCCCAGCTGGACAAGACAATATAGTGATTGATATCATGAGCATCAATCCGAGCATTTGGAATCCATGACATGCATCAACCAAGTCAGCGAGCTTGACCACCAGATCCCGTTAGTCACCTCTTACGACAACATAGGTCGCTTGACTCCATTATTTACAGACCGGCGTCATATGGCTAGAATATTGCTGATTGCGGCGTTAAACAATAAATAACCAAACAATAAAACAAGCAGTCGCGCACTTACACACACGCATGCACGTATCTATATATGTGCACGACGTCATTCCCCATTTCATATCTACTCATCAATACCTGAGCTGACAACTGTATAATGGTGGAACAGGAAAGTTAAAAACGAGCTAGCTTACCTGTAGATTTAGTTATGCTCGATTGAACTTGGAACCAAATGCGCAGCGTTTAATCTCAATATATATATTTTACATGTGATATATATATATACCGAATCATGAAAAGTGTAAAGTACATATATGTAATTGATTTTTGTCTTGCAAAAGGTTATGGAGTATAGTATATTACAGGTAGTCCAAAAGATAAGGTATGTGTTTTTATCCTGGAAGATCCAAATGGTTGTTAATACTTGTAGCAATGGCATTATGTCTGGGCTATTCAAAAATATATTTCTTACAAAGTACGTCATACATGTACCTTTACTTCAATAAGCAAAAAACTTTAGTCATTCTCATTTTGTTATTAAATTTCTCCCATTTTCACATGGGCGCATTGGTGTCATGCCTTTAATGCCATACTATGAAGAAATGGTCAATGGTACAATTTGTAAGAAATTGATGTTTTTGAAAATATAATCAATTTTCTCCTTCATCAAGCTTAAAACTTTTTGGACCTAAGAGGGAAATAAATGTCATGCTGTCTCTTGGACTTTGGTCCACATGAATGGTCTGTCTTAACAGACAAAGTAGAGCCTTTCACAACCCCGACTGGAAGGATCACTAACCGAGGAGAGAGAGATTTTATCTGATAGGTTTACATCGATTGAACTGGCATGATATAATGTTTCAAATAACACAAACATACAATTGCCAAACTCATGTACTTCTCTTATACATGCTTGCCATAAACGACGACTATGCTTGTCGAAAGAGTGTCAATGTATCCCAATTGCGTGGATCGATTCTCATGATGTCAATCACTGGATTATCTACAGACCGCTGACATATAACTGTAGATTCTGCTGAGTGCGGCGTTAAACAACAAACAAACAAACAAAAAACAAACAACTTCTCTTAGACTCTCGGAAAAAAAAATATATCTCTCGAAATGTTTTACCTTTATACATGACATCATTTCCCAACGGACATGTTGTCTTTCCCCACCGAGTGAACATCGCTCCTCCTACAAATACACAGACATATAGACACATAGAGGGGGAGAAATGGCGTATTGAACTTGTATATGTGCTGTATTATTCAAGTAAAGAAATGAACTTAAATTAAATTTTAATATACTGTGTCCAGTACTTTGTGGAGATGGTGTCACTGGCTGTAGAATCTTCTCCCCCAGATAGAGGCTTAGCAACGACATCAGCTCATGCAAGAACTGTCGGTTCGTGGAAGACGTAATGCTATCAGAACACAAAGGCGTGTTTACCCGAGCTGCTACTTTGTGGAGTGGTGGTCACTGGCTGAAGAACCTTTTCCCCCAGATAGAGGCTCAGCAGCGACCTCAGCTCATGCAAGAACTGCCTGTTCGTGGAAGCCGAGCACGGAGTAATGACACCGGTTTTGTTTTTCTTCAAAGAAGCAACTACAAAACACAAAGCAAAGTGCCAACATATCTTTCAACGATCTTTACTGGCGTGTTTCTATTTGAACATTAAGAAACAAACCCAATTCGGTGCATGCAAGTCGGTAACACTTTTGACGTTTGCTATGGTGGCCGTGAGGGGACATCGCTTCCTCGCCCTAAACAATGGCCACGAGAAAGCGATAAAGCGAATACACGAGACGAGAAAGCTATAACACGAGACGAGAAAGCGATAACACGAGACGAGAAAGCGATAACACGAGACGAGAAAGCGATAACACGAGACGAGAAAGCGATAACACGAGACGAGAAAGCTATAACACGAGACGAGAAAGCGATAACACGAGACGAGAAAGCGTTAACACGAGACGAGAAAGCTATAACACGAGACGAGAAAGCGATAACACGAGACGAGAAATCGATATCACGAGACGAGAAAAGTATCCTGACCGAGAGTGGATATCGTTTTATTGCTTTATAGATTTCTCGCTTTATTTTTCTATCGCTTCCTCGCTTTCTCGAGATAGAGCAATATCCCCTCTCGACCACTGTAGGGTTGCAGGTGTTATCTGTTTCAAATTGGAGGAATGTTGAAATTTTCTCACTATCTACCTAAACATAATAACTGTACAGACATAGGTGATTTTAAAACAATCCATGGATTTCTGTGAAAACTAATTGATTGATTTATGACCCAAATTAGGTGTTTCATGGGAACATCACGTCATCAGCATATGTCGGGTCATGACAATACTGACTAAATGAATCAGATTAAAATCTTAATATAAACTATTCAAAAGAAGTTAAAGAACCCCCGTTTCCTTCATATGACAATGATTAAACAGTCACGGTTGATTATATTTCAAAACACAGTCTTATAATTGTGTGTTCTTTAACTTGTTTTGAGTAGTATATGATGTTATGGTGTGAATGCCATAATACTGTTATCCGTCAATATTCTTTTTGACATTTAATTTACTATCAAACTTTTCTCAAATCAAGTGCAAATTTACATGTATATGTACCTGCATATTTAGTCATTTGACAAACACCGCTCAGAGTGAATGAGTATGATTTTACGCCGCGTCTATCAACATTCCAGCAAAAAAAATATCAAGGCTGGGGACACCAGAAAGGAGCTTCATTACACCCATGTGCGGAATATAATCTGGGTTACCGCTGGGACATTGGTGTTATCACTGTTGATATATGTACTTTGGTAAACTACACATAGAAAGAGACATCCCAACTAGTGTGTCCAAGCAGTTAACGTGGATGTATGACAACAATGTGAAGCGCTTTAGTATGATTATCTATAACATATTCGAACTCAGCTGTCAATCTCATATTTTATGTCTATTTTGGGCGGTCAGGTAGCCTAGTGGTTAAAGCGTTCGCTCGTCAGGCCGAAGCCCCAGGTTCGATTCACGACAAGGGTACAGTGTGTGAAACCCATTTCTGGTGTCCCCCGCCGTGATATTGCTGGAATATTGCTAAAAGCGGCGTAAAACCATACTCACTCACTTATGTCTATTTTAGTATTTTGTCAAATACTGTATGTGGGTGAGTGGGTGTTTTGTATGTGTGCATGTATGTTTTTTACAAATATGTCTATATGTCAAACTCACTGTATATTATATGGTAGGTATTTACAAATAAGTAGCAGGTCGGGAAAGCCGACTTAACGTCAGTTAATCTCTGTTTCAAACATTGAATTTAATATTCGAAGAGAGTTTGGTTGAAAGCATTTATACGAAATTAGTCTTTTAAAATATTATTTACAACACATTCCATTTCTATTGTCCAAGCAATGAGGTTATGGTTAATGACGCTCTCAAATGTCGTATATGTGACTTAAGGTAAACATGCATATCTAATCGAAATGTATTTTTGAGGGAACATAACAGTGTACATGTTTTACTCTTGTCTCCATAATGTACACTATACGTGCCTTGTCAAATTAACGACAACCATCAACAATCTGTCTATTCAAAATCTTCTCTTGCATCGTAAAACCCTTCAATTCTGCTCCAATATTTAAGGGCATTTTATAATGTTACCTTTTTCTACTTCATTTTTTGTAGTGTCGATTTCAATATCAATGTGTATGGGGAAGTATTTGGTTACACGTGAACAAACTAGGACGAAACTGTATTGTGAGCCATTGCTGCACAGCGCAGTTTTGCCCCTATTACATAAAACAAGTTGTACCTACCAGTTGTACCGTGTAGATGCCCCTTAAGTTTTCTCAAATGTTTATGTTTTTTAATGCTTTTGACGAAGCAACAAACGTACAATACATAACGTATGATGGTCGTAAAAGGCAACTAAATGGATCGGGTGGTCAGACCCTGTCACATGGTTGATGTATGCAATCATACCAGGATCGTTGGTCATGATATCAATCACTGGCTCGACTGGTCTATACTCAACTATTTACTGACCGCCTCAATATAGCTGAAATATTGCTGAATGTGGCGTTCAACAACAAACAAAATTTACCTGAAATACCAAACGAGTTGAAGAAGTGTGCGGATGAAAGGAAACAACCTTAGGTTTTTATAAGGAAAATATGCTGGTTCATAACACAACATAACATGTTTGATTTAAAAACAAGTGCAAACATGGTTAAAAAATTGCACTGTGACCTCAGTAGTGCAAATCTAGTTACGCTTCAAATAACACACCGAATCACATTCCGCACACAATTACTGACGAAAACAGTTAACAACTTTAACATACACATTATGATAATTCATAAAGAAGATTGAAACTATAGTCACCTGCGACAAGTTTCAGGCAGAGGAGGAGGATGAACGTTGTTTGCAGCATCGCCATTGTCTTCATTCCACACCGACAGTGAAGGTAGAGCGGGGAGACATATATACTCATCTACCAGGACCTAACACCTACTCGTGCATCATCCTTCAGAACAAATGTTACCAAACATGGCAGTTGATTGAAAGATTAATATCACACTCAAGTAGGGTGTGAAGCAATCATTAGTCATATTTTTAGACAGTGGCTGCAGACAGATCATGTGTGATACATGTACACAGTCAAGCAAAGTAACAGTCTGAAAGCGTATTTTATGAATGTATGCATAAAAACTTGTGACATTTGTTGCACTGTATGTACCCACATAAATAACATGTTCAGATGTATAGCTATATGATATCGGCTGTTCAAGCATGAGTAGACATATGTGAACAAAATGTTGACCCATGGTGTACATGTTTACAAAAGTTCGTGCTTTACATACCTGCATGACGTTCAGTAAATATCCTCACACAGAAAATGCCAAAGCCTGATTTCATTATCTGTGGCAATAAATAGGCCAGTGGTTAAGGTGCTAGCTCGTCGCGACGGTGGCACATTTTCTATTTCTCTCATGGCTACCACGTGTGAAGCGTACATGGGGTGTCTCCAGGTGTGGTATTGCTAGACTTATGCTAAAAAGGGCGAAAATCCATTCTCATTTAATCACTTACACGTATCACATAAACATGTTTTTAATCGAAGTCGTACGAGTTGCATGGTTACACCTGCAAAAAATCCAAACCAGTGTTACATGTTTGTTAATTCATTTTATTTTAGTTGGTAAAAGAGGTGCCATCATAAATTTGTTATATACATTAGATTTAGAATGAAGCTTAAATGTATATCTCTTTAAAAGTACTCTATAAATCCTTTGCTTACTACAAACATTAAATATGGACATCCAGCATATAACGATTAAAACCCTCATTTCATTTTTAAATTCTTTGCTCATTTATCTTATTTGTTCTGATAAAGAACGGTCATCCTTATTTTTGTGTCCATAAAATATAGATGTTTACAGCAGTAAGGATTGACTGATGCAAGCTGAAACGTTGATATTATCTCGTTCAGTTATTGATGAATGAGTAACAGAAGGTAAGATGAGACACTGATAGGACACGCATCATGCTAGGGTGTAATTGCGACTGTACATTTCATGCTATAGTGCACTACATGATACACATCTTTACACCTGGCCTTGATTGCTTTACATATCATGTATCAGTACACAGGCGATAATGGCTGTGTTTACAGAACCAGCAAGTGACAGCTGTTAGTAATAGATGTAGCATTGCCTCTGCCCCAGCACTGAGTGTGCACACCACACGCGAGTATGTTTCTTCACCTTCGTGTATGTAGGGACGTTATGCTGTTCAACAACAGTCACAATTGTTGTTGTTTAAATTCCATGTGACAATTTCATGTCTCAATACCAATACTGGAAATAACTAATAATAAAAAGTTCGAACAATATATCAGCTGAAAGTATCGTTGGAAATCTTATGGTAATGAGATGACTACATATCATAGAGGATGAAGCATGTTGGCTAAATCAGCTGACATTATCGACAGTGCAGTAACAGGTGAATTGTCAGTTTACGGTAGACAGATGGTTATGTTTTGGAAAATGTAAACTAAACACAGCAACGGAAACGAATGGTTTTCTTAATTGAGAATGTGATAAATCAATCAAATATTCTGAATGTGCGAAATACCAGCTAATAATGATGTAGTATGAAAGTGAAAGGAAAATGGATGATAAGAGCGTCCATAACATACATAACCACTTGTGTTGTTTTATACTGACACAGAAAATGTACAAAACAAGAGGGTTGTATGCAATCTATTTCACTACTTCACACAGATGAGGGGGGCACGGGTGACCCAGTCGTCTAAGGCGCCGCGATTCGCTGTGCAGAGTTGCGTCCCTTGGGCACGCCAGAAACCTATGATTGTGAGTTCGAATCCCGGTTCGCCCCTATTATGTTTCTAGGTTTGTCAGCACCATACCCGTGCTCGTGGGTTTCACCGAAGTGGTAAACGTCTGAAACCTGCATCACTTCGGGCTTTCCTCCCACATTAAGCTGACACGCCGTGATATAACTGGAATACTGTTAAAAGCGGCGTTAAACCCAACTCACTCACTCACTCACACAAATGACATACCTCAACCAGTCCCGATTAGGTGACCAAACAAAGTCCTTTGGGAGTAAAAGGCAAAATAGTGGTCAACGTTATTATTGATGCATTGATCACGGAAAATGAGTGGTGACACCAGGTGTTCGTGAAAAGAGTAAGGGTGTTCCACCACTAACACCTGTTATAACAAATGCAGATTTATGTTTTGGGCCTAATGCCACGCTGTGAATGAATAATAGGTATTAATGAAAGGTAACAATCCTTTTCCATAGCCACACAAAGTCTCTGTTAAAACCGATTGTATGATTCCAACTGTGTCATGGACATGTGTTTATGAATAACTATCAAATAGTGATGAGACCAGGTGTTTGCGAAAAGGTGATCGTATCCTGCACACCATACGGCATCCATCACAAACACATGCAAAGGCAAGCCAATCGTTCACCTGAAGAACATGGGAACATATGGTACAAAATAGGGAATTGCACCGGACTTCATTATTGTCACTGCTGCATTAAATTTGGAAATGCCCTCCCCATAAACCTGTCTCAAGTGAAACGTTTGAAAGCTTTACTATGGCTTTGAGTGTTGTAACCTTGATTAAACAACTTCCTGGCAAGAGTTATGTGGTGCTCTTTGATACCTTTGTAGATTATGCCTCGAAAGGTGTGACATGTAGACACCAAGGATTTGAGCTGCAGGAATATTGCTTGACATGAAGGGAAAGTTGACTATTGAAAAGTTGAAGTCATTCCTCTTGTCATACTATCAGTGTTTTGTCACTCTGAAACTTAATGTATAAATCGACGAAATAAACACATGACGCAGTCTAACAGATCTACTTTATTTCTGTTCAGGTGGGTAAATCAGTGTAAGGGAATTGCCTATTTCATTGTTATTGATATACCTGAAACTTACGTTAAACTCCTTATCCAAATTCCCCGATTTTGCCAATTTGAGCTTAATTTCCAATTCCAATGCAAAAAGAAACAGAACACCAAGAAAGGACGTAAAGTTGGTGCCCAGAATGTTTACCAGAATGTACATAGACGCCCATGTTACCAAAATGCACAACGTACCTGTTACCCATTGGGTGACGTGTGTTGCATGGTTTGCTTCTTTCACTCTGTAGAATGCCCACGTGCAAAATGTAAAGTGAAACAGGCCATATGTGTAACATTTAATAAGAATAACTTATCGATATTTTCGAACATTCGTATTGTGAGTAATTTGATAACTGTACTTTGAATTTCATAACAACTGTTTTTTTTATTGTTATTGACAGGGCTTTTCATCTTTTCTGGGCCTCATGTAAACAATTTCACAAACGCCTAGTCAGCTAAACTTCATCCGTTAGTAAGCACAATCTACTCATCATTTCTGAAATAAATGCAAGCAAAAACAGAAATACATGTAAGGTTTTCAAAGCTAAGCTTCATCTGTTACCAAGTACGGCTTCACAGTTGACTGCCCGGGTCACAAACATCCACACGCACTTATTGATTTATACATCATTATCCATCTGCCTGCATGAACATGTCCCTTGTCATAGCTTAAGCCAGAACATAATATACTTTCATTGAGAAAGTCACATGGCTCTACAGTAAATCATACAAGGTAATAAAATGTTACATCTCAACCAAAGGTTTCTATAGGCTACATATGTTCAATTTCAGAATGTACTGAACAACAAAAGTTCCTCTGACATTGAATAAGATTTAATGCAAAGTTGTGTTTTTTTACCAAATCTGAAACAATTTCGGTTTGCAACAGATAAAAGATTCCTGTAAGTGTTCAAATGGTTTAATTTGCCATACTGACTTCAGAAAATGCGTGATTTCATTAAAAAAACATGAACATGCCAAAATGTCAATTTACAAATCAAATAGCATGTGACCATCTCTGGTTGCGATGCACCCAACACATCTTCGTCTCATGGAATGGACCAGGCGTCGCACCAAGTCCTGTGGAATAATTGTCCATATCATGATCAGGGGATGACATTCACGTTGTTTTGTTGAAGAGAATCCTGAACAGGTCGAGCAAATACGAGGCCGGGCGTTGTCATGTTGAAAGGTAATTCCTGGGTCATGACGGCGCAAAAACGGTAGAACAACAGGGCCGATGTCCTCGTCGCGCTAGCGCTGTCGCTTGAGATTTTCCTCTACCACTATCAAACGGATCCTCTGTCTTGCGGTATTCCCACCCCATACCATAACGCTGCCGCCCCCGAACCGATCTTCTTCCATGACACAATGAATGACGTGACGTTCACCACGACGTCGGTACACTCAAACCGCTGTGGTAGTGGTTAAAACGAGACTAGTTAGTGAATAGAAGTTATCCCCACTGCATGGCCGTCCAGAGTAGATGCTGTCTGCACCAGTGTAGACGTGCTTGACGGTGGTTTCCTGTCAAAATGGGACGTCTGGCGGGTCTTCTGGCGACAATCCCTGCACATCTGAGGCGACGTCGTACGGTTTGTGAAGATATTCGGCTGGGGCCAGGGATGCTTCTTGCAATCACTGTTGCTGGCTTGAATTGATTTCGTAGGTGTGTTGTTCGAATCCAGTTGTCTTGTCGATTATTGGTTTCGCGTGGCCTGCCATTCCGATGAAGGTCTCTGACTGCATTCGTCTGTTGCCAACGTTGCCATAAACACCAAGTGGTGTTTCTGTGGACGTTACATTGTCTTGCAACATCACGTTGACTCTGTCCTGCTTCAAGCTACCAATGGCTCGCAGACGCTCATTTTCGGACAGGCGTGGCATTTCGTAATGTTGAATAATGCGTAATTTTGTTGTTTTTCTGAGTGGTTGTTGTCAGCACGATGCTAAACAATGCATATGGAATCTCGTTAACGCACATGTTATTATACCCATTCTTGGGTAGTGAAATACATGGAGCTTGTATAAAAGTCAACT